AGCCCCATGGATTCGCAGCTGATTTCCAGAACAAAAGCTTCCAAGGGGTCTCGAAGGTTGGTCTGGGAAACAAGGGAGGACCCCGTGAGCCTGACCCAGGGACGCGCAGCCGAAACCCTCCCCCGAGCCATCCGGTGGGCAGCGCATCCCCGCTCGAAGGGCTTGGCACAAGGCTGCCGTGGCACGGCCTGGCACTGCCACAGGTTTGGGTTTTTCCCCCCGCCTGCCCCAGCCTGACACCGGGCTCTTGGCTCCCAGGCTGCTCCCACACTGCGTCCCACCGCCGGAGCTACCGGGGAGCGCGTCCCACCGCGGAGGCGCAGCTCGCGCCTACCTCTAGAGGCGTCTCAGTACTTCTGCCCTTGGGTGGCTCGGGCACACACGATTCTCCCTTTCTCCAATGCAATTACAGCCGCGTGGAAACAGAAAGAGATTTATGGGCGAGACGCCAGCAGAATCAATATACGACACCGGGTGGAAAACCGTGATTTTGAGCTGCCTCTGAACTATATTAAACCACCTAAATGACCTTAATTGGGTGTGAGAACAAGTCTGCTTGATATAGAAGAGATATTTGTTTTTACAAAAAACCAGCCCAGCTTAAAAGCGGGGGGCTCATCCCCCGTCGAGGCAGCCCCTCCAACAAGGCTGTGAAAGCCGCGGGCACCCCGGATACGGGGCACCCCTGCACAGGCGTTCTGGCTCCTCTCAGGTTTATATTTTGGTGACAGGGATGCCAATAGTCAGCAATTTACAGACAAAAAAAAAAAAATCAAAATCAGAAATATCAGTCACCAACGGATTCGAGAGAAAACAGGGCGACAACTGAGGATGAAGGCCAACCTTCACCTGCCCAGCTTCACCTGCAGCCCCCCCAGACCCCACAGCTACTGCTAAAAACTGGAACATTGGCAAAAAAAAGGAGGCGAACGCTGTGAGCGCAGGTGAGGGGGGAAGCACGGAGCCAACCGATTAAAAACCAGGAGCAACTTTTGGCTGTAAAAGGGGCCCAAACGAGCAGCTCACACCTAAGTCCTGCACCAAGATGCTTCGAAATGAGTATCTCCTTGCACCAAAGAGAACTGCTCTGCAAACAGAAAAGGCGTTTCTGGAAGGAGCCTCCCTGGGACCGGCCTGCTCCATCCCCGTGCCACGAGGCACACACGAGGGATGGTTCTGAGCAGCGGTTCTGGCCCTGCAGCACAATCCCGGCTTTGCTCAGTTGCTAAAAAAAAAAAAAAAACCCAACCACGGTTTGCAAGGATGCAGGTACAGAGATTAACAGCAGCGATGGGCCCCCAAAGAAACCACCCGACCGACCAACGGCCCCCCCAAATGCCGAATTCTGAGTATTTGGGGAGCAGTCAAGAATGCACAAGCTGCTCACGGGCTGAAGTTCTTTCACATACAAAGCTTTTGTGCCAATAACAAAACAAACCCCAAAATTTCCGCAGGGATGACCCAGGTTAATCCCACCCGATAAATCCTGCCGGAAAACCCCAGCTGTGGCCAGCACAACCGAAAGCCCAACAGTACCACCCGGTGGCCACCCTCTCCCGCTGCAGCCAGGAGCGGAACCCCCAGCGCCTCCATTCCGCGCTCCCAAGGAGCCGGGCTCCAACGGTGGCGACTCCCACGCCGAGGGGGCCACCAGGGGCCCTGGGTTTAAAAACCTGAAGTTTGTCAGAAGCGCAAAGGACTTTCTTAGGGAGAAAGGCAGCGAGCCCACGCGCAGGATCCTCGATCACTGCGCCGATCCCTTTAAGTTCATCTGTCCAGATGCAAGAGATGTAAGAGAAAGTTGGGGTTTTTTTAGTAAGACAAGGCAAAAATCTACAGACTGATGAATTATGGCAGCCACAGGAGACTCAGCATCATCCTACCCGCCAGCACCAAACCCAGCGACGTTGAAGCTTCCAGGTGCCAGCAGCTGGGCTGTAGACCCTTGGAAGCGGTAATTTAACGTTCGCATCTTTTGTTATTGCCGACGTGTTTGGTCAGGTGAAAGCGCAGTTGCAGAGGCCCACGATTTCCAGGCTGGCGCTGCCGAGGAGCGGAGCGGTGCCCGAGCAGGTAACACAGAGCGGAAGCGGCGCTTACTGGGGGTGAAGAAAACAGCGTAAGCAATACAGAAGTGGGGAAAAAAAAATTGTCAGCCCTCTCCCAGCTTTATAGCAGGCCCAGAAAGGGTTGGCCACCCGCCAGCACGCCAAGCAGCAGCTCCGGGCTTTCTGTTGTACCCCATTAGCTTCCAGGAGCCAGTGGATCCCTGCCGGAGCAACCGCATTATGGAAGCGGGGAAGGGGGATGGGAGAATGCAGAGCCGGGAGAGGGGGGAAAGTGAGAAACAGGAATGAAAAAGAGGAGCAAGAGGCACATAAAGAGGAGACACCGCGAAGGAGTGCATGCAAAAAAAGGCCGAGATGGGAAGAAAAGGAAAAGGGGAACACAAATGAGGGGAGGTTGAGTAATATCCGCAGGGAAATAGGAGAGAAATAGGACTGAAAGGTGAACGGGGAAGGTGAGGGAGGCGACTGACCGGGAATACATGCGATTTGGGCAGGTGAGCAAGGCGGCCCCAAGCGTCCCTGTTAACCTGGCCCGTCCTTGCCTGGGCTCCTTCCCGCCCCGCTCGCCTGGGAAGGCAGA